TCTTCGTTTGTATATATGCATGCAAAGTGTGGTTCAATGGGGATGCTTGTATTTTGTTTGATGAAATTACCGTTCAAGCTGTGGTTGCTTGAACTGCTCATCGGGTGTGTTCAAAATAGGGAGAGTGAGAAGGGTTTTAAATGTCTGCGCGATATGCAGAGAGTTGGCGAGGATAGTGAAAAAATGCCAACTTTTAGGACTTTGGAAGGCGGCCTTCAGGCTTGCGAAAATTTGTGTGCTTTGGACGAAGTGTTTACATGGTTTTGTGGTGAAAACTGGACTTGGGTTTTTATCCAGTTTTTCAATCTTCGATTTTGTCTAATAATTCTAGGTGTGGGAGTGTTGGGGATTCATATGCTTCACTTTCTGAAGTTGTTGATAAAGATATTATCTCATGGACATTGATTATAGGTGTGAATGCTAGATTTGGGTTTATGAAGGAATGCTTAGATATGTTTTGAGAAATGCAGGTTGATGGTTTATGTGCGGATGAAATTTTGATTAGTTCTATCCTTTAGGGTTTGGGGAATTTCATGAGTGTACGTGACGGGAAGGCCCTTCATGGATTAATCATAAGGAGGAATGTTATGTTAGATCAGATGGTTCATAATGCATTGTTATCCATGTACTGCAAGTTTAGACTCCTATCTATATCAGAGAAGCTCTTCAGCATACTACCTAACCATAGCAAAGAGTCTTGGAATATAATTATTCATGGATATTGTAAGATGGGACAAGAAGCAAAAACTATAGAAATGTTTAGGGAGATGCAACAAATTGGCATTGAGATTGATTCAAACCGCCTGGTCTCTGTGATCTTTAATGTTCTCATCTAGGAGCAATCTGTATTGGCTGTTCACTTCATTGCCAGATAGTTAAAGGTTACATGGCAGACAACATTTCAATTGCCAATTCTCTCATAGATATGTATGGGAAAAGTGGAAATTTAACCATTGCTTGGAGGATATTTAATCAAACACAGAGAGATGTTATCACATGGAACACAATAATGTCAGCCTATACTCGTTGTGGGCATCTTCTGAGGCTATTGCCTTATTTGATCAAATGATTTTGGGAAACTTGATGCCGAACTTGGCAACATTAGTGACTGTGCTTTCAGCTTGTTCTCATCTTTCGTTGTGGAAGAAAGCAGAAAGGATTCATTATTACATCAAGGAAGGAGGATATGAGCCCTGTCAATCTCTTGCTAATGCATTGATTGACACGTATGCAAAGTGTGGGCAAATTGAGAAATCAAGAAAGTTATTCAACTAAATGAAGGAGAAGGATGCAGTTTGTTGGAATGTCATGATTTTAGGTTATGGAATGCATAGAGATGCAAAATCAGCACTTCAGATTTCCAGCAGATGAAGGAATCAAGTGTTAAACCAAATGATCTTACCTTTCTTTCTCTTTTCAATTCTTGTGCTCATGCAGGCCTTGTTGAAGAAGGGAAGTTTTTGTTTTGTAGAATGGAACATTATTCTATAAAGCCGAATTTGAAGCATTATGTTGCATCACGGACCTTCTTGGTAGATCAGGTAATCTTCAGGAAGCTGAAGCCTATGTCAATGCCCATCTCACCTGATGGGGGCTTCTGGGAGCTCTGTTACGTGCTTGTGTTATTCATAATGACGTTGAGATGGGAATAAGGATAGCAAAGCGTGATATTGATTCTGATCCTGAGAATAATGGGTACTATATATTGATTTCCAACATGTATAGCTATATGGAATGGTGGGAGGAGGCAGAGCAGGCTAGAGAAATAATGAAGGAAAGGGGTGTAGGAAAAAAAGCTGGTTGGAGGGCAATGTAATATAAAGAATGTAACATCCATTTTGGTTTGGGAATTACTCATGTCCCCTAAAATTGTGGCCTAGGATCCACCTTTGTTTCATATATGGCTTGATGTGTTCAGGACTGATGCTTGCTTCGCCTAAAGAATGAGGTGCAAACTTCAGTATGCTTGGTTCGCAGGTACTTTATTCATCTTCCATGTCAACCTATTCCTGCATTTAGGTGTTAGAATTGAAGTTACACATTTTGTTTCATTTCCTAGCATGTTGATGAAAAACATGCTGGATCTTGTTTTTAAGGAATTCCTTTTGTGGTTTAGAAAATGTTGACTTCTAGGATCTGCCTACGGCTCAGTGAGAGAATATAAGGCTTGATGGGTTCAGGGCTGATGATTACTTTACCCGAAGAATGAGGCCTGCACTGCAGTATGCTACAATAGTTTTCAGGTACTTTCTTCATCTTGCATATAAACTTTTCCTCCCTTTAAGTTTTTCAGTTTTAGTTACCACTTTTGTTTCATTGCTAGCATGCTCATGAAAAACATATTTTATCTTGCAACATATATGCACTTTTTCCCTTGTTTTTTTTTTCGGGGCGTGGGTGAAGGGGGTGGGGGGTGGGGGGTGGGGATAGGGGGTTGGAAGTGAGACGTTTTGTTCATAGTGTCGATGACTATTCACTTGTTTCTTCTTCTGCATGCTAAGCATTTGTATTGAAATCCTTAAGAAGGACCATTTATCAATAAGAACCAGGTAAAATCTTTGTGGGGCCATCAATAAGTGGTTGTTCCATCTTGTACCTTTCCCTGGCTTTTTTATTTTGAGACGGACGTAGCAATGGAAATTAGAAAATCACGTTTTCAGTTCAGTCAAGCTGAATTTTGTTTTCCTGAACAATGCAGCAAACCTGGCAAGCCATATCAAATTCACAGCTTTATACTTTGATGCAATCATATATTCTCTACCAATTGGATAGACATGCAAGCTTAATTGATCAGTTTTGTTAATTCTTCTCATAGCTTTTGGGCATATCAGTTGGTTGCTTCTATATTTCTAATCAAACTGTATGATACTATTTCAAAAATAGTTAAATTGAGTTTTCGAGAAACTTGATCTGATTTTTATCTGTTATTCAATGTAATACTGGACAAAATATTATGCACGGCATAAGCGGACACCCCTAGAAAGGCTTGTGCAGGTGCATGCAAGAATGTAGCACTTTGTGGTATAGTGAGATGCTATTCCTCAGTAATTCCATGTTTATCTTATTTTAAATGTTTAATGCGATCATTTAAATGTTTCCAAATGTTTTTGTGGATAGCAAGGTTATATTGAGTTTGGATACTAACATTGTTGAACTAATATTCCTAAGGTAAAATAATCGGTGACAATGAAAAGAAATGTCTAAAATCTTTGAGTGTTTCCTTTCCACACCCTAATATCCTTTTTTCTTCCCGACAAGGTGAAATTGGATCTGTTATTTTGACAACATTGTTGACCTGATGAGATGGTTGAAGTATAATTATGATCTTATGTTTCCCATGCAGGCATCCAGGAGAAAATGGCAGAATGCAGAACTGGTGATCACAAAGAATGCGGGGGGCATTCTATGTACAGAACCCTAAAACACTTTAACACCTTTCGTTTGCTAATAGCTTTTGGTTACTCTAAAAGAGATTCTAGTCTAGACTCATCTTTATAAACTCTGGGAGAGAGGGAGAGAGAAAGAAGAGAATGTTGCAAATGAAAGCAATAACAATGCTGAAAATGCCGGTGACCGAACCAGAAATATTTGGTCCTCCCCAGGAAACTGTAATTCTATGAATTTCTCGTGAGAATAATTAGGAGAGAAATCTATCAAGCATCAATACTCAATAATGTCTCATCTTTGTTTTAAAATTCCAACTTAGCAGTGCAGGAACATTTTGCCGACAAAGAATTTTCTACTTTCTTCTTTAGATAAATTTGATTCTTCCTCACTTTTAAATAAATCTATTACACATGCTTTTAGAAATGCTAACTCACTATCCAACCCGAGGACTATACATGGGTGTCTATTGTCTTAATATTAAAGAATATTAGAACTCGAGATTTATTTTAATTAATTCATATAATTACTTTTAAATATGATATTTATTAAATTTAAAATTTATAATTTATAATATTTTTTTTTATTTTTAAATTACGATATATTTTGTATCAATATAATATATAAAATTTATGCAATTAAATGTTGATATAAAATTTAATGTATTGTAATATGATTTAATTGAACCTTTTATCTCTAATTATAAAAAATATTTGAATATTTAATTTAATGAAAATGCAAGTATAATCAATTCAAAGAATTGAGCTTAAATCTGTTATTCCCAAATATTTATCTTGATTAAAAAGAGAAATTACCAAAATGAAAAAGAAAAAGGAAAGTGACTAATTCATGTCCCATGGCCACGTGAGTCTAGGATTCCCATTCTACAACTATCTAGCGGGAACAGAATTAAAGTGACATGTTAGGTGACCTACTAATCTGCAATTGAAAATTACTCCTACATCTATTTGTATATATATGTTTTAACTAAACTAAAATAAGTTTCTCTATCAGGGAAACAATACATGAAAAAGACCCTAAGGAGACTTTAGAAATTTCCCGCAACATCAGGAAAAATGTTCCATTTCATTGTGCCTGTCCTAACAACAAACCACCACCTCTTTATTTTATTCCCAGAATTTCCCATTAATCATTGCTCCACCCACCCATTGATTCTGTCTCACAAACAAACAAAACTAAGGTCAAAACCAAACCACACTTTGGACACGACGCTAAGGTGTTGTTTGGCAATTATCGATTATCAATTATTTGTTTTTGTTTTATGATTTTTCTAAACAAAAACATGCTTTATTTTTCTTGTAATTTTTTAAAAAAATAATAAAAACACAAAAAACATAACAAATTTAATACCAAACAGATCCTAACTTTGTCACAAGTAGGTCAGTAAAAAGGAATTCATTAAAAAAAACCAAAGTAAAAACAAAAAACCAGACCGAACTCTGGACCAGACGCCAACTTTTTGTCCGTCAGTAAAAAGAAATTCGTTAGAAAATTTTTTTTTGTTACTTTATTAACAACCAATCAAATTCCACCACGTCATCTTGCTTGGTTTTTAATCTTCTTTCTGTTCTTTTTTTTTTCTCAGTTATTTTTGACTTTTAGAAAAAAGGGGGAAAAGAATGGCCAAGTGTTTCAGCTTAACGGCAACGCGGGACTGGTGCTTCCGTTACAGCTTTTCCAACGCTGGTCTCCGATCAATAACGACGGATCTCGGAGACGGCACCGTCATGCACGTTTGGGCCCCCAAAACCCATATCCAATCCAAGCCCACGTTAGTCCTCATCCACGGCATAGGGGCCAACGCAATGTGGCAATGGAACGACTTCATCTCACCTCTCATGTCCCGCTTCAACGTCTACGTCCCTGACCTCCTCTTTTTTGGCGACTCCTACACGACCCGACCTGAACGGTCGGAGCAGTTCCAGGCCCAGTGTGTCATGGGGGTCATGGAGGCCCATGGGGTTACAGTTATGAACGTTGTTGGGATTAGTTATGGCGGCTTCGTTGGTTATAGTATGGCGGCGCAGTTTAAGGAGAGAGTTGAGAAGTTGGTGCTATGTTGCGCTGGGGTGTGTTTGGAAGAGAAAGATATGGATGAAGGGATGTTTCAAGTGAAGAGTGTGGATGAGGCTGTTAGTTTTTTGTTGCCCCAAACGCCGGATAAAATGAGGCAGTTGATGAAGATTTCTTTTTATAAGCCTACTAAAGGAGTTCCTTCTTGTTTTCTAAACGATTTCATCCATGTGAGTAAAGCTAATCTAATTCATTTGATCATTGTTTTTTACTTAAAAAAAAAAAAAAGATCCCACTATGAATATATAAATGGTGCTTGATTTGTGGGTTTCTTTTAATGGTTGGTCCAAGGCCAAATTCCTTTTTGTTCATTTATTTGTTGGGAATTTTAATTGCTGCTGCATTTGAAGTTCATACCTGATAACAGAGAATCAATAAATCTGTCATTTTGTGCAAAGTAGATATCCAAAATTTTCTTATATCATCATCATTAGTAGTTTATAACCATAGCAGTTCACTTCCGTGTACCTGTCAAAGAAAAATAGTAGTCATCATTTGTTCTCTTTTGGTAATTACATCATTCAAGAATGATGAGGAGCTAGGTTTCAGTAAAGTAACTAAAACAAATATGTTCCACATTCTTCCATAATCGATCTGGCTGTCTCCTTGATATAGGAAAAATGGTTTCTAAAAGTTTATGAGGACGAAACCGGGGTTTAGCTAAGTTGGTCCATACAATCACTTAGAGATGGTATTCAGTAGGTTTGAGGGTCAAATCTCAGCACTTACAATCCTTTCCTCTATCCTAGGTTGTGGCCTCCTTTGTACCAAAAAAAAAAGTTTATGAGGAGAAATACTTAGCTTCGTAGGCCTTCTTGGTTTTACAATAGATTTAACTTTGTTAGACAGTATCACTCTTTTATTTTGGTGATTCCTTTTGTTTGTGTTTCATCACTAATTGTGATTAGTTCATTTCTTTAAGTGACTGCTAGTCAAATTGTTGTCCATCATTACCTCTAATTTTGACCATAATGTTAAGATAATCATCAAAGTTCTAAATTTTAGTGGAAATATATCGCTTTACAAACATCTACAGGAAGAGTTTTCTATTACAGTACCATTGCCTTAAGTTTGCGCTGGGAATTCAATGTTGTTGGCAGGTGATGTGTACAGAAAACCTTCAAGAGAGAAAAGAATTGATCCAAGCATTACACAAGGACAGAAAACTGTCAGATCTTCCAAAGATAACCCAGGTTATTGGAATTTGTCCAAAATTTTAAGCAGCATATTTTTTAAGAGCTGTCTTTTCTGTTCCTGAGCTTTTACTGAGTTAATATTGTTCTTTTGTGCAGCCAACATTAATAATCTGGGGAGAACATGACCAAATATTCCCTTTGGAATTGGGACACAGATTGAAAAGGTCATTCTGAAGGAGTAAATAAGCATAAAAACATCGATTTCTATTTTCAACTCTTCTTATGATCAATTTTTGCTTACATGAAAGGACATCTAAAAAGTATGACTTTGGAACCTAACCTGGTTGGACTGATCTTCTGAAGTTAAAATCAACGAAGTAAATTGAAAGAAATTTCTAAATTCTTTGATTAAAAGCTTCCTTCCTGCTTGCAAATATCATTTTTCCTTTTTTTTTTCCTGAGACATGAAATTGTTTTTGTATCTACACATTTTTTACCTTGATTTGGCTGGAGTATAATGGTGATCATATTCTGCTCATGCAGGCATCTGGGAGACAATGCAGAACTAGTGATCATAAAGAATGCAGGGCATGCCATCAATGTAGAGAAGCCTAAAGAGCTACAGAAGCACTTGAAATCTTTCCTTATTGATCCGCTCCCTCCTGCTAAGCCAGGAAACTACGGCAATGGCCGTAAAACAGATTGAAAGGAATGCAAAAGACGATAATCCTTGAGTTGCTGGTTTCTCACATAAGCCTTCATTGGGGGATGTTGTGTTTTATGGATGAAGATGGACAACTTAAGGGTATGGGAATTTGTGAGCTATATCCCACCCCTAAAAGGGTTAGCAAACTTACTTATAGAGTCTAATTCCACAGGTTAATCCTTGGTTTTTATTCTGTTATCAGAGATGAATTCATTATTGGCTGGTGATCGCTGCTTCCTTTAATTGGTGTCCAGCCATTTGCAGAAAATGTCATGACTTATTATCACCATTTATGTTGAATGTCCTTGCTCGTCTTTTGCAAAACTAGTGTGCTGGTTAAATATATTTGTATTTGATTTATGTTTGACTCTTTTTTTTCAATTAAATCACATGCAATTCTTCCAAAATCCCAGCAATTCATGTCCAGATGAAGGCAGTTGTCATATAGATTAAGCATGCTGCTAGCATTTGGACTTTATGTATGAATGTCAAGCTCAGATAGCATTAAAATCGAAGAAGAAATCAAAGAATCAAAAGTAGATTTGGCCAGCGACATTCGTTTCTTTTTATTTGTCTGCAAATGCCTGATATCTTCTGCAGCAACTTGAAAAGTATAAAGTGGGAAGTTGTTTTTAGAACAGGACAGAACATTTGCTTACACTAACATTTCCTAGGCCTTGCAACAGCCAAAATGTGTTCATGCATCAATCAACTTAAAACAGGGAAAGCAAGCTTCAAAAAGACAAGAATTTCTTCCCCATGGGGTCATGACCCTTCCGATACTCAAGATGATCGAGAATGGAGGGGCATTGATTTGTGAGTAATGTTGGGGGCATGGAACGCATAAAAAGTTTAGCTCGAAGTGAATACGTGAAGCTGACAATTTCATACTTACGCCATCAACCCTCTCCACTTCGGATCAAAATTACTGTAATTAACTTATAATAGCATGTTAATTTCAGCGATCTATATCATAATATAAAAGTTATCGTGGATTACAACAGTAAATAATTGTTCAATTGAAGCTACCGGCATGTTACTTAATAATTATCTTTCAATTAATTTTTTATTATCATTTGAAGTAATTTTTAAATTTATCAACGGTTTATTAGTTTAATTTTAAAAAATATGTTTTTCTCTTTATTACTTAAGTTTGAATTCGTTTGGATAATATGAAAAAATAAATTTTTATAAATTTATTAAATTCAATCTAAATAAATTTATTTGAATCAATCTAAAAAAAAATTTATTAAACAAAATGAAACATCTTGCGACTAAATAAAAACAAGTAATCTCCAAATCTATTACTATTCGTAAGAGCATCCAATTTGATAAGATTTAAGATTGGATGTTCAATAATTTTTTATATTAATTAAAAAAAAATAAAATTAAATTGTTTAAAATTGAAAATAAAAAAGCCAAACGCTTCTATAAGCTTTTAGATAAAGAAGCTTTTAGGAAGAAAATTACCAAAAGACCTGACAAATTTTATAGAATACACAAAAGTCATGCCCCATGGGTTTCTTCTTTTTTCTTTGATGTCTAATGATATTTGAATTTTTTAATTAATGGACATTATTTTTTGAATTTGATAAAAATATTAAATTAAAAGTAAAAATTTATGTTAAAATAATGATTAAATTTGAATATTAAATCTTTTGTAATTACAGATTTAAATTTAAAATTTAAATCTTAGTGCTTTTATTATATTTGAATTACACCTTATTTTGTAAAAAAAAATAAAAAATTAATTAAAATATGATAGGCGAATAAATGATTAATCTTAATTAATTCTTGCAATTATCTACATATAAATGATTTCCAATTTTCTATGTGGATCCTCCAATATTAAAAACAATGTTCATTTCCTCTATTTTTATTTTTATTTTGATGATATTAATAAATAAATTACTTTCGTTAAATCGGACGAAAGGTAGCAAAATTTCAAATTTCTTCATGTCAATCCAACGGTCGAAAACCTAGGTTGCAAGTCGAAACCAACCTATTAAATCCTCCAACGCTTCTTTGCGCTTCTGTGTTTTCTTCTGCGACCAAATCCTCTCTCTTCCCTCTCAAAGAGAGCAAACTACTTTGGAGCCAAACAAGGTTCGCTTTTTCGCTCCTTATGTTTGCGCAAATTTTGAATTTAATTTCTCTATTTTTTTCCTCATTTTTTTTTGCTTTAAAATCGACATAAAACTTTGTTTTAGCTCTTAAAATATGGCATAAATATTGAAAATTTTAATATTTTATCAATTTTCTGGTTGCTACTTATTGTCATTTCATGTATTTTTGTATTTATGAAATTTTATATAACAGTTTTGTTTATTGGGTGGTGGATAGCTAACCCTAGTGGATAGAGAATTTTGGAGCAATTTGCTTAGCATTTGGATAAGTAATTTTGTTTCTTTTCTGAAGCATTTGTTAAAAAAATTATTTTTCCTATCAAGAACAAGAAAGAAACTTGAATGTTTAAGAAATAAATTACAGTTTTATTAATTTTATTTAATTTTCTAGGGAGGTATTGTATTCAGCTTAGTTCATTTCATAATGCAGTCAATCAGTTCTGAATGTTAGTAACTTTTAATAAGTTTTCATATTTTTCATTCCAGGGTACACTAAGTTTTAAGTTTTTATCTATTTCAGCCTGCCAAAGGTCATTCAGCATAAACTTATAATCAGTTCCTCTATCCTCGTATCGTATGGCCATTATACCTTGTGGAAGTACAATTGTTGCCCAGTGGGGTATTCGTCCCCAGTTTACCATACGATCTTATGTCTCAAACCGAATAATGGCTGCCAAATCGGGGTAAGTTTTTGGCTTAGCTCTTTTACGTATCGAAAGGGAATTGCTAAATTTGATTGTTCAACTACAATTATTTTCTTCTAGAGCTTTATATTGGCGTGGAATTGCTGAATTTATGTCATTGCTAGTTTTGGTTTTTATGTTTATGGTTTCTTCATCAGTGTGCATTACATTTGTGAACTTTTTGACACATAGCATTTTGGTGAACATAACAATTAGATGGGCGGATTTTCCCCCTTTTTAATCCCTCTTTTTTCTAGGCTATATTTGTTGTATTGATTAAAGAGATGGACAAAGAAAAAAAATGGGGTGTATTACCTCTAGCAGTAATAGTCCATATTTTGGTATTTATGGAAGAATAATTTAGGTGTTTATTACCCTTATGCAGAGTCACAACTACGAAGAGTAATTTGGGAGCACCGAGTTCAAGTCTATGTTCACGTGATTCCTTACCATTTTTATCCTTTGCGGGGTCATCTCAAACATCACATCATCATAGGGGAGCACGGTTCATTGTTAAAGCTGAAACTGTGAGTATAAACTTTCAGTTTCTTTTGCCTTTTTTTTTTTTAAATGGAGGCTCTAATGGTTTTTCCCTAATTTAATTATATTTATATCTTTTTAAAATTTTGGGATGCTTTTCATTTTTTTGCTGTTGTTGACATCTCGATCACTGTTCCATAGTCAATTTAACATAATAATGTATTAAAATGAGCAGGATTATTATAATGTCCTTGGGGTGTCAAGAAGTGCAAGTAAATCTGAAATTAAAATCAGTATGCTGAATTACCATACCTTGTTCAGCGACTGTTCAATTTTTTTTTCCTTATATGATTGTTTACTGAATTTATGTTCTTATTATAGTTTCCTAATCTATTTCTTATTTATGGTTTTGCGACTTATTGAAGTTAACTTTACCCAGCTTTATGGGTTTCTGCATGGAAAGTTTTAAAACACTGTCGCAGAAGCTTCAGTTTGAAGGGAGAGTAGGTGTTAATGATATAAATCAAAGAGAACTTAGAGAGGATGGATGAATGTGAACTGAGATTAAGACTCGTTTGAGGATATAAGTAGGTATACATAGCAAGCATGTATAGAATTTGAAAAAATATGGGTAAATATAGCAAGCACGTACGGAATTTGAAAAAATACTCCATTTTTTTTTTTGGGAGGGGGTGGTGTTAAAGTAAGGCATTTCCTTACTGATTCAAGGGGAACAAAATATATGCTTGCAAGTCTTAAAGAGAAATGTTAGACAATGGGTCAAATGGGGTGAGTTGACATGTAGTGGTATTCACATTTAAGGTTCCAACTGATCAAAAGGAAGTCTCTTGTAGGTGTCTCATCTATTTCAAAGAAAATTTATGGTTGTCTTGCTTTAATTGGAGCTGCAAAATTGATGAACTGTAAACTTACGAATATGTGCAAGTGATTGATTGTTATTTAAACTCGATTCTCTTTTTTTGTCGTAAGTACCCCAAAAGTAAACTTAGTTGTTTCAGTTGCCGCTTTCTGCTTTTGTTGCCCATATTATATTATCTTACTGTTTTTAAATCTGTTATTTTTCAGCTTATCGGCAGCTTGCTTCAAGTTATCATCCGGATGTGAACAAGTAAGTTGATAACCTTGTACCTCTTGCCTTTTATTTATGGTTGTGTGTCTTTTGCAATTGTGTATATTTCATCATGTTTATGTTATGTTGACATAAGGAAAAACTGTGTGAATATTTGGGCCATGATGTTGTGGTTAGCCTGTGAGAATCATCAATGTTTCTTTCTCTAATTTATTCTCCTTATTTTTTTCTTTTCCAATTTTGGATCCAGTGATGGTACAAGTTGTTTCCTGTAGAAGTAACCACAATGATGTTCAGAAAATGGCTTCTCTCATTCTGGTTGAATCATAGCAATTAGATTCCTTATGATGTTGTCGAATATAGGTTTCATTAGTCCTAGCATGACACTTTTGCTAGGGAAATTCTGTAATAGGGCAGGTTAGAATTCCCCAAGAGATCATTAATGAGATGGATCGACATCCACTTATTTTTCGTTTTAATATCCCCATCTCAGGATGGAGGAATCAGCTCTGAAGATTTCTGTAGATGTAGCATACTCTCACCTTCTTTTGAGTATTTGAAGTTGCCTAATCATTTTGTCAATTGAAGAGCGGTGGAAGGGATGTCTATCTACTTTATGTCCTAAGCAGGGGCTTAAAATAAAAATTGATGGTACCTTTATCCAAATTGAGATCCTAAATAATGTTTAGAAGGAGAATGTGGTTGCTGCTGAAAGAAATATAAAATAGAATAGTAGTCATAGATTTCCCAAGTTAGATATTCGTTGAGTTTGTATTGATATATTTTGTATATTTCTAAATGTGATTGCTGAATGGGAGAGAGAATAGCAAGGTATTCATAGATGTACAACTCTTATTAAGATATATCAACTGCTGAAGTTTTTCAAAATAGTTTGTTGTTTTCAGTTTGTGTTGCTATTTAAAATATCTTCTTTATTCCAGATATGTT